ACACACACGCACACACAGATTGGAAAAGATAAGCAAAACAGCCACCCAGTGAGATTATGTGTAACTAAATAACTGTAACTTTCCAAACAGACCACAAATCAGCAGACTTTGTATGCTTAGGGTTTCAGTGACTATATGATGGGCTCTGGTGGGCGAGGGGCCTTCCTATGTGGGCTCTGGCTGTAGAATTAAGCCATTCCAGGCCAGAATGGCTGGCTAAGACATACGGTTGCTTCACTGCAGACTTCACTTTATATACACAAAAATACAGAGAAACTGCAGTGATATTCATGCAGACTCTACTCCAACATTGTCACAAAGTAGTTCGAGAGGTAAATTAAATTTCCTGTTTTTGTTCTTGTTTTTCTTTACAATTAACGAGAATTAACCCCGGTGACACTCACCAAACTAGATGCTGTGCATATGTTTCTCTATACGAGAAGCTAAACTTGCCGAGTCTTGTTCTAAACTCGGGGATTTGAAGCTTAGCTGAATGTAAGAGGCTTATGAGTAACTGTCAAAGATCACATGTGAATGAGACTGACAGTGCGCGTCTGTGGGACGGGGGTTTGCGTGTGCGTGACTGCTGTGTGGCAGTGGGTCAGCTCCTGATCTGAGGTGGGCAGTCACATCCACGGGGAAAGCCTTCAGTCTGCAGACAAATGGCTCTCGGCCTGACGTGAAGTATGCATGTGAGCACTTAGTGTACGTATACACCTGTGTCAGTGAAGCCTCTGTAACTTAACTGTCAGTCAAATTCAGGTCTCTGCTTGGTCACGAGCAGTTTGCTTCTGTTTTTTCCCTCCAAATGTTAAATTCCTCGCACTCTGCAAACTGCCTGTGGAAGCAGATCAGAGCACTTTGGCTTTTTGAGAAACGCATTTTCTTGCGAGCGGGATGATAACAACGATACTACTCTAATCTCTATACATTAAGAAAATTTAGCTGCAGGCAGCAGATCTCAGGGTAGTATGTAGATGGGAAACAAAGGAAGTAGGTCTCCTTGCTCTGTGTAACCTAATCCTCCTATTAGCACCTCTGAAAGTCTTTAAGTTTCATGCTGTGTCTCGTTTATTTTGCATGTACAAAAACCAAAGTGTAGAAATTTGTGGTTTTTCCAGAGGTTCTGTGCAGAAGTATTTCTTGGCCCCGAGCAGGCAAACTGCTCCGCTGTTACACTGAGACTCATATTACTCCAACAAACATCTCCCTCAACTCTCAGCAAGAAGGCTGGATAAGCGTTTTCCCCCAACATGTCACATTATTGTACTAAATGTGACCAGCCAAGTTAAAGATTTTATATTTCAATAAGTCTCTAAAGCAGGGGTAGGCAACTCCAGGCCTCGAGTGCCGGTGTTCTGCAGGTTTTAGATGTCCTTGATCCAACACAGCTGATTTAAATGGCTAAATTACCTCCTCAACATGTCTTGAAGTTCTCCAGAGGCCTGGTAATGAACTTATCATTTGATTCAGGTGTGTTGACCCAGGGTGAGATCAAAAACCTGCAGGACACCGGCACTTGAGGCCTGGAGTTGCCTACCCCTGCTCTAAAGTGTCCATAGGCCTGTCCCGTCTCACCTTTTTAGTGGCCTCCCCTTCCATCTCAGGGGTGCTTGGCGCCGGAGACCAGAGCATGCTGGGAGCAATGCAGACAGACAGGTTGAAGGCGTTCATCTGGTTGTCGTCGGCACTGCCCTGTATGCAGTGGAGTACCGCGATCACGTGTCGCAGCAGCAGCAGATTGTCACTGGGAAGGAGGTGGAGGAGCCTAATGGGAGTGGGGCAGGAAATGACGGGAGGAGATGAGATCAAACACATTACGAAAAACATCCTCGGTCCCTGCTTCTTCCTTTCAGTACGGCTGCTTGTTTCTGCCCGGACGAGAATTTCCACTGTTGCTTTTTCTCCTAAGCAGAAGGAATTTTGTTTGTTGCTACTGGAAATACACACATCCCTGCTCTCTGTTTTTAGTTCTCATTCTAAACATAAACTGTAGGTAATTAAAGGAAAAAACCAACAGCGTCTAAGGTGTTGCTCTACCACAGGCCACCAGAACAGCCATTTATTCAATCTTTCCTGTCCTGTGTTGCTGACTTATGTAAAATGCGCGTAGGATTTGCATCTTCTTGTCAGACACTGACAGCTATACGATTAGCAGGACGATCACGGCCTTAGATATCGCATGTTTTAGGATTTCAAGAGAGATCTCTTACCTCTGGACAGCTGGTATCCTCTCCTCTCCTCCTTCCATCGCTTCCATCCACTGGTCATACAGGTCCACGCACAGCATGCTGCCTGGGATATTTCGCAGGAAGTCCTGTATGCAAAACGTTTATAAGTGAAGCTGAAGAATGCCTTATACTGACAGACAGGCATTATAGACTGGAAGCAACTGTCAAAGGGATTTTTGCTGCTCTCACTTTTTTATGGCTTCATCTGTGGTTGTGGTTCTTTCGATCCTAGCTTGGTGGTCGTATAATAATCACTGAACAAATCCAATTATGTTAGTGCATTTTTACTTGTGAAATTAAAGTTAGGCTACTGGCACAACAGGTAGGAGTTGTGATGATTGCTGACAGTGATATATCTTCCTCAAGGATACTTTAGCATGCAGACTGGAGCAGCCAGGGATTGAACCGGTAGACTAGTAAATTACTTCCTCTCCGTCCTGCAATTTAAAGGGCTACAGCCACCCCTTTATATCACAGGAGGCTGACAATCCTTGCACTCTATGTGGAAAACAAGTGAAACAAAATTTAAAAAGGGAGTTGGACCATCTCTAAAAAATAAATAAATAAATGAAAAAGAAGAAGGCCCGAGCTACTCCCTGGATGCCCGACTGTATGACAGCCGTTTGGCCTGGATCCTGAACAATGCTGCACCTTGTGTGTGTGACTGGCCGCCTGCCTGGCTTTGCAGAGACAGATTATCCTGTCTGGACTAAGGTGACTTTGGACCAACATCAGTCGTGCCTGTTTTCAGTTTCAAACAAGAAAGAGAGACGGGGGAAGAGCTGTGTGTGTGTGGTTACCTTGAGGACAGCAGCGATGACGAACACAGACTGGTGTGTGATCTCCGCGTCCTCGCTCCCACTGTCCAGCCTGTCTCGGAGCTCCCGGCAGGCTTTTGCTCCAGCTGAACGCCTGAAGACGCCTCTGGTGTATGGCCCCTCCAGGTACAGAAATGCCAGCATGTCCTTTGGGGGAACATCGAAACAGAAGGTTACCGACTTGTTCGGTTTAATAACATTGTCATTTGATGAAACAGGAGAACTTAATGTCAGAGATTACACAAGCGGGAGCTTGTGTAATCTCTGGCATTTCATTCCACTGAGGTCTTAATTGCAAAGAATTCCTGCCAGAATTTTTATCTCGATTTCAATTTGGCACCTCCCTTTAACAGATTCTTCTGTGGACCAACAGGAGGAACGTGTCTGAATCAGTGTTTCTACAAAGAACGAAAGAAAGACGTCTCTCTTAGAGGACACCTCAGTGAGAGGGTCACTCACTCCCAATAAGAAGAATGTGTACATTAAAATATATTCTGTTTCCAGGGAAAAAAAATCTGATTTAATCTAAAATGGAAAATGGGTCCGCCAATTATTTTAAGTGGTTGGTGGATGTATTAAAGTCATAGAATAGTAAGATTGCAGCAGTAGAAGTCAAATAAAATGCTCCTAAAAATAATCTACTTTCTCACACCCTCAAGTCTCTCGTTCCCTAACTAAACAGTCAACCTGTGTTCCCTCAAGTCAGGGTCCTGACCCCTGTTATGTGAACTCCACTCGGCTTACCATGACAGGTTTAGGCAGGCCGTTTTCTGGAGAGCAGATGGAGCTCAAGGGCTGTCCGAACAGCCGACCGTGAGCGGCGGAGAGCAAGGTTGGGGACAGGGGCACGCCGTCCAGCTGTGTGCTCGAACCTCTCCAGAAAGGCCAATTGATTAGAGATCTCTTTCTCTTAAAAGACTTCTGCTGACCAGGCTCTGTGGGTAGGAAAATAAAAATAGAGGAAGGAGAACTTTAGTTTGAGATATAATCAAACTTTTGTTGTTGAGTAATGGATGGCGAATGCGCCCCAAGGTACGTTCAGGAAACCAAACTGTTTGATTCACATAGCTTCAAAAGTGCAGACTCAGAAACTGTTTCGTAATGTTTACTTTTGTGGGCCTGAATTTCGGGCAGAACTGCTTACGAATTGCCCATCAGCGTCAGATGCAGGAGCTTTTCATCATGCATCATGCTAACGCGCTGCTCATGGTTGAGAAATGAAAACCAATGAAAGCAGATGTGATAGACGATGGTTTACTCTGTTTACTCATGCGGGTGCGTTTAACAAAACCTCATAGCGAGCTGATATAGGTCACATCTCTGCTTTCCTGTCTCAATAAAGGCTAAAAAGAACATGTGCATGTGACTGCGTGTTCCCTTTCCTAAGTTTTTGCACAGCAGTGCAAAGGCACAATGTCTGCCTGTGTAGTTCAAGCACCAGCTCAGCAGGTTTTTGCATAGCACGTGTGCACTGAAGTGCCTATAAATAAGAATGTACATTTACTTTAGCGTGTAATTAGACATCTAAAATAAACAAGCAGTTTAAAAAGCTAGTTTTAGCATGATTAACTCCCGTGGAGCGCATTAGAATTACAATTAGCTGCTAAACAGAAGAAATGTATATTTAATAATGACTTAATTTCTTTGTGTTTTGGACTGCTGATTAAATAAAATGTCACTCCGGGCTGAAATGCATTTCAAAAACCTTGATTCATATCACAAATGTTATGATAATGACTCATTCGTCACTAATTGTGGCAGCACTGCCTTTCTGAGCCACCGCCGACGTTTTTAGACAGGCAAAATGTGCAAACAGTGCATTAAATCTCTTAAAGGGCCATTGTAGTGAAATGTAATTGTAGCAGCTTTGAATTGCCAACAATCTTGAAATGATAACATTTATGTTATTAAGCGTCGGTGATTTGTATCCAAGGGTGGGACTCAACCTAACAAACAAAAGATTCTTTCGGTGGGCGGGGGACCCATCGGCCCCGAAAGGGCCCTCAGAATACACGGCATACCTCACATAGAATTCATTATTTAACAATCTGCCGTGGCGTGATGCCCAAATACACTCTGGAACAAAGTTCAACAGTAACAGATTTACTGGCCTGTTCTGGCACTTCTCAGCAGGCCTTTGCCATCACTGAAAAAACATGACCTTGGTGTAAATCAGGTGTTACATCATTACGGCTCTCGAGGCAGGGAACCGTTTTAGAGACAGTGGAATGAGGAAACAGACACAGACGACATGTCTGGGTGGGCAGTCTCTGTCATCTTACACTAATCTTCTACTGTGTTATAAAACAGGTGCTAGATGTTGTATTTCTCTTCATTGACAATGAAATTACCACAGACATGACTACACAGTGACGTCAGTGTCCTGTAATAGAAACCCCAGATTACAGGTGCTGACATGTTAGTAGTTTACTTATTTCATTTTTAGGCAAATGGAATAATCTTTCATCTTTGCATAAATGCAATAATTCTATTCGATTCTTAGTTTTTCCAAATAACCAAATCAACACTGCCGGTGTAGCTAGCTCTAGAGGATGGGCCAACCTGGCTCTGTCAGTGTTGCCAACTTAGCAACCTTGCCGCTATACTTTGCGAGTTTTCAGACCCCCTTAGTGACTTTTTTTTTTTTTCAAAAAAAGCGACTAACGACAAATATGGCGACTTTTGCTGGTGTTATTAGGAAGACGTATGACCACTTTTTGACGTGAAAGCACGTATCGCTCTTACTCTCAACAAGCAGCGGTGCTACCGTGGGCACCTCGCCCGTGCCGAAGCGCTCACAGGCGGCGGATAGTCCTCACGCAACACTCCCCCCCAGCTGCTGTCAGAGCAGGAGACGTTCACCCCTACGCGTCCTGCAAATGAACCTCCAGTGAGCGAAGCCGCTGCTCCAGCCCTGACTGTAATGACGTCAGTTCTTCTTTTACTCTTACTTTTTGTGGATCACAAGCTTTAAACCTACTTAAAACACACACACAGACTTTTTTGTGTGTCTATGTGTGTGTGTGTAACTCCGCCAGAGGGCTGTTTTGGGTCACAAGCCCGGATAAAGGAGGAGGGTTGGAATGACTAAAAAAACAATAATTGCTAAAAGAATTTAATTTGTAGTTCCAAATATATTCAGAATGCATTTAGGGTGTTTTTTACTCACTTTACGTCTCGTCCAGGATGCTATTTCTCTCTCCTAAAAGTTAGGTTACAATTACATAAGCATGACAAATTATGCAAATTATGCGATGACGTCATTTAGCGACTTTTAGGACAACCAATAACGATTTTCCTTACTGAGGAGTTGGCAACACTGGGCTCTACTGAACTGTAGGAAATGAATGCTTTGACAAGCAGACTTTAAGCCACTTCCAAGGGTGGACATGCCAGTAATATGGTTCATATTGTAATGGGAACATAGAAAATCTCTTCTTGCAGTTGAATGCACAACAATACCTGTTTTTATAGGTCTAGTACAAAATCTTAGCTCATTTTTCAAGTGCTGAGACAGCATAGATCTGTGTTGCTGTGTGCAGTGGTTCTTTATCCACGTTCAGCCTCACTCTCTGTTGCTGCCATGAGCCACCTCAAAGGCTTTTTGTCCAGTTACAGTATCTCCCCAGTAGACTGGCACAAACTGGACATGAAGCATGTTGGGGAACAACTGGAGGAGTTTTATTTGTCATACACCCGCTAGTTGTTAAACATGTACAATTTCCTGTGTGATTGTTTGAGAATAAATGGCTGAAATGAGGCTTTTGTCAGGGCTACAAGCCAGTAAACACATATTCGTTAGCTTTCTGGTTGGGCGCGAGCAATTAGGCATGTATGGTGGCGGGGCTGTTATGGAGAGATTACGTAAGACCCTGTTGTGCCTGAAGCAAAGGAATCTGAGGCAAAGCTTGCGGTTGGCAAACTGGAGCCTACTTGACTGGAAAACACACATTTTTTTTCTCCTCTGCTTCTTCCCGCCACTAAACCTCATCATGTCCTTTTTCCATCCTGGTCTCCGTACCCGCAGTTCATCCTCACTCCTGTCCACCGTCATGTTGTTTTTCTTCCTCCTAATTTATCCGTACCTCTCCGCTTTAAGGTCCAAGTTTCAGTCTTTTGGTCTGCAAATCCTTTCTCTCTCTGCCATAGTTGTCTGTTTCTTTTTCCTTCACCTCTACTGACCTTCCACACTTACTCAATAGCTGTGTCATCTCTTTCTACTTTCCATCTTCCTATTCCCACATTTATCCGGTCCTTCTGGGGTTTCTTCCTCTTTGTCTGTCCGATGTTTTTCTTATTTTGACACCGCGTCTGTTCCAACCCCTGCTGTAACCCACCGCTCCATTAAAATGCTCTTCCCACCGTCGATGACGCTTTTTTCCCCCCTTCTTGTCCACCTGCTGATTCAAACTGAGGACTAACAAACACGACGGTAACCTCAAAGACGAGCACAAACATACTGAAATGTTTTATATAAGTGGAACTCGCTCTGGGAAGTACTTTCAGTTCTGTATTAATACTTCTGTATCCTCATATTTCCTCTTGTGGTTTCACAGTGAGTTAGATTTATGGATGGATTCTTCACAGTGACCAACCATGTACTCAGAAAACCTAAGCTGCCACGGTAATGACAAAAACAACAATGTTTACTTCTCTCACTTCATGAATCTTCCGTGGTGCATGATGGGCCCTCATCAGAATGCTACCGTTTTAAACCCCAAACGATTAACTTTAAATACTTAATGGTGGATGTAATTTTAATACCTACTACTAATAAACACAACCAAAATACCAGACACATACTGACTATGAAATCCCTTACCTAAAAGTTGAGTCTGCCCAACGACAGCCTTGTTGGGTTTCAGTATAAATTGGCACTGCGTGTCTGGAGGGAGACACTGGTCCAACAGAAGAACCCCTGGGCAGTCTGTGGGACTCAGCACATCCTTCCCTCCTCCTCCTCCAAGTCCTCCACAATTGCTCCCAACGTCTCGAATGTGGCTCATCTTGATGCTGAAGGGAAACTCGTGGCCTGAATGAAAGGTCAAAGTTTAGCGCTGGAGGGCCTGGTGTGTGCAGTCTGTGCACCTCACATGATGCTTTAAAAAAAAAAGGGGCATATACAGCATTGCATTTCGCAACACAGCGTCATAAATTCTGTGTTTGCGTGTCAGGAATTCTGTGTGGACTACAAAACAAAAGATTATGGTAACACAAAAAACCCACAAGAAAACCACGTCCTCTGAAATGTTCCCAGATGGTGAGTTTTGAACCACTGATGCATGCATAGAAGTGAGAAGTGGAGAGTTTTTTTCTAAATACTCATTGAGGAAGAGACGCTGTGTTTCTAGATGTCAGTACGTTTTGTTATTCACCACATCCTACATCATTACCCAACTGTTGAACTACTTCTTTTAAGGGTGCCTTTAAAAGGGAAATATTTTAAGGTAATCAAATTCAGCCATATCTCTTGTGTGTCCCCGATGTGACTGGAGACCCATAAAAACACAAGAAAGAGACCTTGTCTCCTTGTTCCTTTTCTCCGCAGATCAGAAAGTGTGTGTCTTTGAATGAGGCGCTCAGATTTGCAGCTGGTTGTGACATCAAAACTAGATAAGCACATACCCCAGCTGGTCAGCAGATCTGCCAAAATAGGACAGTGAGCCATTGTTATTTCCTAGCTAGAGCAGCTTCTCCAAACTCAAGGGCCAAACTGTTTGTTCTACGAGCACAACGTGCCAGCAAGTGTTAACAAATTACGCAGCTAATGATATCAGAAGGCTGAGGGAGAATAGGAAATTATGGGAACCAGTAAACAAAAGACTGTGTGTCAGTTACTGCGTTTTTTATGTTTTCTTTTGTTCTCTGGTCCTTACTGACCTCAGATTGCTTTTTTTTGTCTCCATTTTTTACTCTGCTTACTTCTTCCCTTCTCTGTACTGAATTTTAAAACCCATGAAATCCCAGCAGGGTCCCTCTTGTTTCTGTGCTTTTCATTTTCTGCTGTCAGACAACACCGTGCCTATGAAGTAGCACGCGCAAACCATGTTCCAAGCTTCGCCTCTGCACTGATAAAAACCTGATTTTATAAAATCATGATACACGCACGGAGGCCTACGCTGTGCAATGATTTGGCCTCATTTAGATCTAAAATGATCACTTAAAGCAGAGGTGTCCAACTCCAGGCCTCAAGCGCCGGTGTCCTGCAGGTTTTAGATCTCACCCTGGGTCAACACACCTGAAGCAAATTAGTTCATTACCAGGCCTCTGGAGAACTTCAAGACATCTTGAGGAGGTAATTTAGCCATTTAGATCAGCTGAAAACCTGCAGGACACCGGCCCTCGAGGCCTAGAATTGGACATCCCTGACTTAGAGAGAAAGACAGAAGCAAAATCATGGCTGCATCTGATATATGGATGGATTACTGCGCCAACTGGCTGCTGCAGTCATTCATTCACAGAGCGCTATCTAAAAAGGCCGTGGGCATCAACGGCTTAGTTGGATTTAAAAATGCCGATAAAACTGCGGGGTCTTCATGAAGGCTGAAATAAAGTTCTGTTTCATAACCAGTTCGAGGTACCTGTGAGACTTACATAAACTCATTAAAAAGGGGTATAATGTGACTGCTTTAAGCTATTTTTTATTATTTTGTTTTATACAGTGATGTCAGTAGGACTCACCGATAAGTGGATATGGAGGGTCATCCTTAATGGAGCTCACCCACAGCCGGTGGTCTTTAACGCAACCCTAAAAAGAGAAAAAGAGAATCACTTTTAATGAGATTGCAAAAAGAAACTCCTTTAGTAAAAACTGCTCTGACACCACTTCAGCCATCAGGTTTTGCACTGTTTCACAGAGCTTGTGAATCCCAGAAGGTCCATTACTGAGAGCCTCGAGAGAGTTTTGTAGCATCGCACGACAAAGTTTCATATCTAGCGATCATCAATCACTGGATCCTGAACACAGGCCTTCGGTTACTTACTGATATGCTGAACTGCAGCAGAGCCATGCGGATGACTTCAGTGGTGCTGTCTGTGTTGCTGACCGCAAGCGTCTTGGCCTGGTGGAAACATTTTTGGGTAAACATCACGGAAATATGTAGATGTTTGTGTGATCCGTAAGTTATAGTGGTGCTAGAGATGTTATAATAGCTGTTTTTGTGCTGACAGAGGCAATAAAAACTCACGGGGGATGAAGGGAAACTTACATATGCACAGTTTCCAATATCCTTTGCGAAGATTTTCAGAGGAATGGTCTTTGGGTCGTCCTTCTCTTTTCCCTCACTTATCCGACTGAGTTTGGTGGAAAACAGGGAATGGGAAGGAGGTCAGTGTTATAGTGAGAATATTGTTTTAGAATAACACTTTTGTATAAGTTTATGAATTTGTCTGTTAATACAAAACATTCATGCTGTGGAGGCTTCAGCTTAATCATTTTATTCTTTAAAATCAAATCCTTTCTGGCCTGTAGAGGGGAATCTGATTTGCAAGGAAGAACTTTAAGCTAAACAAAGCATTAGGGCCAAAGAAAAAGAACCTTTAATCAATATGTTACCTGTTGACGAGCGCCAGCCACTTGTCCTTAGTCTCTTCAGAGCTGAAATGAAATCAGTGATGTTACAAAACACAATCAGAGGAAAAGTAACTGTCGCTCTTGCTTTGTTATGTAACTCCCGCCGTTAAAAACCAGACTTCCCCCTGGAGCCATGACTGGATTCCTCTTGATGGAAAATATAATGGGTGTGTTTGTGAATGGGTACACAGGTGTAGATGCTGCTAAGGCAGGTGCAAATATACGGCGCTGAATACATCTGTACGTGCTGCATGTTTGTGCCTGTGTGTGGTTACTCGCTCTATTTTTACTGAGACAGCTTTATGACTGAAAGCTGCCTTTGTGCTTAAGCTTTTTATGGATTTTGCGGTGGGGTTCTCTACTATACTGTACATCTGCACCTCAGTACATTGCGTACTTTTCCAGAAATATTCAGGAGTAAGCGGTTAATGGGCTGGCAATGAATACTTTAGAGGAAATTGAGTTACCTCAAGCTTCTCCTGTTTGATCGAATCAAGATAATTTGAAAAAACATGGCTACATTTCACCTTCTAGGAATTCCCATTCTTGGATGTGAACAATTTGTACATACCTGAAGGTGGCTACACAGTTACAGGTGGGCCAGCCCATCACGAAGCTCCTCTCGGGGTTCGTGCTTCCTTCGCACACTTCCTCCATGCAGTTAGCCGTCCACATCTCGCAAACCCGGACCTGAGCCTTCACCTTGAAATGAGTAGGAGACCTGCAAACAAGCAAAGCAGCATGCTATATTACAGTGTTTTGTGATAAATGTGATAAGTGCTCATATCTATCAACTGGTTTCAGGGTTTCAAGGCATTCCACAAGGAACTTTTTGGGCATTAAGTGCGGAATCTGACTTAGTTTTCTTTAAATAACTGATGTCCATAAACCTCCTGTGGCATATGGCAATCTAAAAAAACACTTAATATAGAAGCAAAATATTAAAAGATTCAGCTATTCTCAGACGTTAAACACAGGCATGCTCAGTAGACATGTATTTATGTGCCACAGCATCTGTAATTATCGAGGGAGATGATCCGAATGCATACATTTGGCAAACAAACACATACTCTCTGCTTTATGGATATAAAGGCGCACGCACACAGACACACACACCACTCAACTTTTAAAAATTTCCCCTCCTCCCTCTTGCTATCGCTATCTTTCAAACACATACACACCAACACACATTCCTCTAACTCACCCTGGGTTCAGCCACAATGTATTAAAGCCAATTATAGCATACACTCTCTCCACTGAGAGGGTCAGCTCCGCCCACTGGCACATGACTCCCAGGACAGACCGCAGCCATCCTGCTGTGTCTGCACTGAGGGGTTTGTGTGTACAGTAAGTACATACTGTAAGTGTGCAGAGCTTGTGTGTTTATGTGTATGTGTGAGTGTGTGTGTGTTTGTGTGGACCTCAAAATTGTCTATGTGCTCTTTGCTTTCTATATTTGAATGTGCTTGTGTTGTGTAGTTTGTGGGTGGGAAGCCCCATACTTTAGGCCCAAGGCAAGCCAGTTTGGCTTTGATCTGAGCCAGGCTTCATATGGATTTAATTGGCTGGGAAATAATTATATGCTGGGGGAAAAAAATGAGGGACAGAGTAGTAAAAGAAGCAGGAGAGTATGTAAAGAGAGACAGGGGGAAACTCCATCCTTCACAAATTTTCTTTTGCTATGACCAGCAGAGAAACAACTAGGAACAATGAAATGTTGCACGGCCGCTTTTTGTTCCTATTTTTCCCTGTTTATGTCACTCTGTCTCTATTTCCTGTTCCGCCCCCTCTCACACTCACAACCACGTATAAACATCTCCCTGTCATTTCACAAAACACTGAAAGAAACTTACTTGGCCTTGGTGACGAGCAGGGTGTCTGTGAAGAGGAAAAGGTGTCTCTCCTGGATCTGCAAGCCGGTCTTTAGCTGTGTTTGGGCGTGACCCAGGAACAGACGGCCTGGACACTCAGCCAGGAAGGCCTGGACTAGAGGACAAGTCTCTGGGCTTACTGGCGTCAAGCAGCTTTCCCTGGGGGGACAAAACCGAGACAACGCAGACGCAAGGAATGATTTACACTATTGATCCCCAAAGGAGAAATTTGTGGTTTGGAGTATGTGGAAGCATGCACTGAAACAACAGGTTTGGAAACACAGTTGGACTGAATTTCTCTTTGCTTCGCTCAACAGCTATTGCAAAATTGCCACAGAGCTCCTGAATAGCTCACAGAAGCTGCCGAGTGACAAGAATAAAAAAGAGTGAAGAAACATTGTGAGCTTGAAACACCTAAAAAGTGAGCAAAGCAGTTGTAATCCACTGTGAGGATAGAAAGAGGAGATTTAAGTAACTCGTCTGAGCAAGACACTTAAGAAAGTGTGCACCTTTCTTACTAATGGATCCAAATCAGGCTCCCCCAGCCCCTGAGATACCTACCACCATCACGAAACTCAAGAATCAAATGAATTTGGATTACCACCAGGAAGACGTTAAGGCATAAAATGTCTGCCTGGCATCGTATGAGGAAACTAGCTCCATCCCGGTAAACACTGAGGAAGCTATTACGACTTTAAGGTCGGGAGTCAATGCTTTGCGGTTTTGAAACAAAACCCATGGTATAGCTAAATCTGAACAACCTTGAACGTTTTGTATTATATTGGCCACAAGACCACGACTTTATTTCCACACACATTTGGTTTGGTGGAGTAATACTTTATTCTTTATTCCTGCATATTTTCTTGTGGAGGGTTTTTTTCCTCCAAACTTATACAGAATGTGAAACAACCAGGAATGGTGTAAGTGAAAGCAGGAATCCCACGTAGCATGTGAGCCAAGCTGTGAAAAGGCTTAGCTGACCCTCCAAATTTGAGCATTCCTCCTCATTTTTCTCCTCATTCCGACTCTTATTCCCAATGCACGTAATCTAACTAATACAAAAAAAGACAAGATTATAGTTTTAGAACATCAGGGAAATTGTTTGGCTGCAAAGAAAAATCAGAAGGGCTATTTTTTAAGACGAGACAAAATCATTTTTTAGAGGAAGAGGAAATCATTTGAGAGCTCCATCCTTTCCTGTTTATTTGGAGGTGGCTGATAAAAGACCCAAATATCCACTTACATACACATTTTAAATCTTTCTCCGCTTCTCTTAGTCTCTTTCATGTAAACAGACGTGTGCAAACACAAACACACACACTAATGCATGCACACACCCTCTTCTTAGGATAGTTTCTCACCCCCGATGCCTACCAGGACACATGCAAGGACACACTTTTCTGCTGCAAAAATCTGAGAAAGAACCAATATTTGGAAGCCAGGGAAGATGAATCTCTGACTCGCCAAAGTCCTTCCAGCTACAGCACAAGCGGTTACGTAATTAATTAACAAAAACCAGACGGCCACGCTAGAGTGCTTTCATATTATTTCTCTTTGTGTGTCATCCAAAAATAAATTCAAATGTGGGCTCAGTAAATTTAATTAGGTTCAATGAATTTAGCCAGCAGAGCATCAGTGATTCAGTGGAACATGTTGGCCTGCAGAACCAGGATCCAGGACGACTACACGGGCACACTCACAGCTTAAAAATAAATAGTTTCTATGTGATGCAGTTTCATTTCTTTTGTCTATTTACCCTTACCCTCCAGTCATATAACTAATGCATTTCTTTCTTTGCATCGCCTTCATATCACAACTATAAATTCTCCAAAGCACAGCTGATAGCTGGCTCTCATTAAATCTTTCAAGATGGCACCATAACGTAATGTTGCACACCCCCTAAAACAGAGAGGGACACCGAAATGTAGTTGAGAAATGCTTCTGTCAGAAGAGCCCACACACACGCACGCACAGATCAACATGGACAATAACACCTTCCTGTAAAGCCTCTTTCACATCTCACTTCCCCACAAAAAGGGCAACATCTTCCGTATTCACCGCACATCCCTTCCTCCTAAATGTTAGAGTGACAGCTGAATCGGACGGACGAACAGCTAATGGCTCCAATGTGCATCGTGTGATGTTGATAAATTGAGCGTCCACCCCGCCCGCGCATACATGGCCACCTTTGTTCAGGCACGGCTCCGTGAGGAGAACTGTTGACTTTCTAAAACACGATATGGGAGGGGGGAGCGGGAGTTGTACAATGAGCTGCACAACGCCGCATACTAATGTCCCCGCATGAATATTTAAGCTGGAGCGGGAAACATTTCTGCATGAAAGTCTTATAAGCATAAATCACCCAGTCTGACAGTCACAAGTGAGTTTCATTTACACAGCAAAAACTGACAGATTTGTGAAAAAATGGCTCCTAATCGTTAAACGCCTGATTGATGAGGAGTTGAGCGTATCGAGATAAGAAAACGACACCATGAAACCGAGAACTACGAAGTTATAAAGCTCGAGGGATGGAATTATGAAAAGCAAGCGTTTCAGAGAATGAAGAAGACAGAATCGGTGTTCAATAAAAAGGCCAAATTTGAATCCCAAAGAAAAGCATCCTCATCACTGAGCCAGACTCTGTTAACTTATTGTGACGGCCCAAATGAAAACCCATCTGCAGAAAGAAATGGAGCTTTTTCACGTGTAAAGAAAAGCCTGTGGCTGTGGCATCTCCTCAGCCTCGTGCAGCAAAAGCACCGAGTATTTAAATCATGAAGGAAGATAAGTAAAGCTTTAGTCATGGACATGAGTATGATCCATCAGGTGTGAGTGCTACATACCCAGAGGGAAAACAGCTGGACAAACAGCTGGAACTTTCTATGCTTGTCTTGTTTGTTGCTTAGCTTTCTTTCCGCTCATTGTTTCCACTTTCTTTTTACCACTTATTTCCAGTTCCAGGTATTTCCCATTGTAACGGGACCTTAGTGGGGCTAGATGCGCTGTTTTGCTTATATTGCTGTGTCTTGATGCACAGTTTAAAGTCTCCCCAGCTGTCAAACAGTCAGCCTAGACAGAACAGACTGACTCCCTCAGGGCAGAAATGACACTTATATAACTCTGTCCATCTGCTCAGCTTTGATAATAACCCTGAGAAGAACGCTGAGTGTCATTTATGTGTCTCTGTGCATCATCTGTGTCATTAATTTGTCTGCAGCTAATTTGTCTTTGGTGGCAAATCTGCTTTTCCTGTATTAAGTCAACACATGGCGAGAAGAAGCAAATAAATGGAAATGTGTTCAGAGCAAACTTTCAGCCTCGCTCTTATTTCTCATGAAACGCGTAAATTCTGACAGGGAATAAAAATAAAGATAGGACGAAAAAGCAGAGGCAGAGATGTCCGTGTTTCCTCTTTCACCGCCTTAAAGGGGAAGCCCAAGCCACAAGAAATTAAAGGGGGAAGAAATCGAAAGGAAAATAATGTAAGAAGCTAAATATTTTATTCATTTTTGTGACCATTCATTAAATTTCAGCACAGTTCAGCAGTCTTCAGTCAAAGCTAGTTTCTTCTTTTGTCTCCTCTGCTCTGCGCAAAGTGAAACAGAGAGCAGATGAGAGACTGGTGAAGTGCAGATAACGTTTTTTAATTTGGAGACCCCCTTCCCCCAACTACAAGAGATGTCACCCGTTGAACCTTTGCATATGTTTCTGTACGAGGAGGGTTGAATCACCAACAGCCTGACCTCTTTGTCCCAGATAAAAGATCTTCAGACAAGCAACAATTGGCATCTCTGTGCACGAAGCAGTGAAAAGAGACCGTCTGTTAACAAGCGGATTTGGGAAGACATCATTTTTGCATAAACACACTCCACTCCGCACCATCGCCCGAATCACAGTGGAAGCTTTTGTTTATCGTGGCATAAAAAACCCCGAAAGCTGCAGTAAGACTGGCAATAAAGAGATTACTCACTTCATTACTCACACATTTCTGAATTACATTCCTACTATAGTTGTAACTAGGTCAGGAGCTTTGATTTGTTTTTATCTGTATAGGTGCCTTTTTCCTTCTACAGAACAACTCCTTAACCTTCCTAAAACCTGAAAAGGGGACTATTTTGCATCTTTCTATTGCTAATTAGACCCCTAAAAGGATGGGAAACACAAAACCAAAAGCTAAAAAAGGCTAAAAAGCTCTACAGATTTGAAGGAAACTGAACAGCCAGGCAACATCTGATTCAGATACACTATAATAACCATTAACAATAACGCACTAACAACTCACTACTGCACATAAAACAATTAAAACTTGACCTTTTTTTGCTCTGCGTGCATCAGATTCATAGGCAAAATACAATGTTAGTTCATCCTGACACCAGTGCCCTGATATAGACGAGGAAGCACACACACACACACACACACACACACACACACACACACACACACACACACACACACACACAGGGATGAGGTCAGAATCAGGAGCTAGAATTGCCTAGGGGCTGTCAGCCATGATATCCTTAACAGAGCTCATTATTACAACCAGGAAATGATTTTTGCATGATGTGCAAGTGGTTGTGTGTTCTTGAATTTGTCATTTTGAGATCCAGATGTCAACAACCAGGAAAAAAACTGAAAACTGAGATGTTTTTAATTTTTTTTACATTTCTAAAAGTCATTACTCAGAAATAAGATTAGATTTAAGATTAAGTAAAGAGGCGTGTGGTTGTCACATTTATGTGTGCGCGGCTGATAGCACGTGAAAGTGTGAGGTCAGGAAGGGTCCATGTGTATAGATTTCATTGCCTGAAGGTTGAAGGAGACCCTTAATCCCCCGCACTGTAGTTGGGAGGCAAAGGGATGACGTTATACTTCGAGATGAAGTGTGAGAGTTTGTGCACGGAGGTGATGTAAATGGCTGCGCTAAAGGTCCAGAGACCCTTCCGGTGCCTCTTAGGGCTGATGGGAAACACAGGCAAGGACGCATCTCAGGGACAGAGGGGAGGGAAAGAAGAAAAAAGAATCTCTTGTGAAAAAAGACACACTCCAAACAATGGAAACTTCACCATGCCAATTTTTTTTTTTAATCCTTCGTTTTGTTTTTTGTTTTTTCCCCCGGTACCTCAGAACTCAGTTCATTGTAGCACTGTTATTTTAAAAAAGTGAACAGGAGCCAAAACTCAGCGCTGTTCACTGACTGCACGAGTCATGAGCAGAGGAAAAAAAAGGGGGGAAAGAGTTCAGAGATGAGACAAAAAAACAAAACAGAAACTCAAATCAAAGCCTGAGGTGTGTTTCACTCTGTAGCTGCTTTAGCTGCTCTGCACTGTTTAATATTTAAACCTGGTTTTTTCCAGCTGTTCTCAATACTGAAAAATGAACTGACTGTGAGTGAGTAACAGCTTCATGAACAAGATGAAAATGCCAGACCAACAGGACACTCAGCAAGTCAGTGCTATTCTCAGAGAGGAGCTCTTAAGCATAAAGTTAAAGACTTGACAATAAATCCTAGCCTATAAGGGCAAGAAGTTATCAACTAGAACAAAAAAGCTGCTTACAATAAAAATTTGTGCAAGGAGAGTTTGTAACAGCAGTAGAGGCTTTTTAAAGAACACAGCAGTGATACAATGATGTGCAACCCCACTGCCAAGACCTGCTGGCACATGGATATACCCATTCTAACTGCTTTAATTGGGGCTCCGGGGTTTTATAACAGCCTGCATGTGGTTTGCAAATCTTAACAACAACAAATATGCATTCATAATAAAAAGTGCCCAGTTAATAAAGAAAGAAAGAAAGAAAGAAAGAAAGAAAGAAAAGCACCTGCTGCATGAGAGTCACATCAGCCCTTACCTACTCTCAGTCATCTAAGCACTCTGCTGGTAGCACCCCTGCACACACATATCCAGACCTTAATAACTACTTCACACACTCACTGACATGTTAGGTTCTGACCCCAGCTGACCTCCACCGGCCTCTAAGCCTCCTGATGTGAGGTCAGGGGTTAAGGGTGACAGCTGAGAGCGTGAGGTCAGCTCACACACACACACACGCACACACACGCACACACAGGTCAGACTTGGACAGACTCTCTGTTTGTCTTTCACTCAATAAATGGTCTCATGGTGTCTCACTCTGCATCCAAACAGAGCATCTACGTTGTCTTTCTAACTCTGTTTAGCACATATGCACACACAGACACACACAGACCCTACAACAACACTGGCCTATTTAAGATTTTGTCGAAATCGTGAAGATTTACCATCCTGATCTCCATAAAAGCTGCCAACAGCAATTCTCTATAATGTAACGCTGGCAGTGGGAAGGCATCAGGTTTATTCACCAGGCACTCGCTTGTAGGTGAAATCATGACAACATGAAAACTTTCTAAAGCCTCAAAGTGTTTTGAAAAGCCAGCCTGCCTCAAAGTGTTTTTCCTCTAAAAACCCCCAAAAGCTGGCACTGGCAGAAAATTAAACAGAGTGCATAACAGAAACAAAGTTTCTAGTAAACAAATACCCTTCCTGGAGGGTTTGTAATAGCTTATTTCCGAAACTGTTGAAGGAGGATGAAGGGATTTGTGAGATACGAGGGTGATGAAAAGCCCGATAGTTCTGATGGAAGTGAGGATTTAAAAGCCCTCGATGAATGAGTCAGAAAGGCCTGGCAGTCTTAATGCTGATGTCTGAAGACACTGAATGTGACAGAAAAGGGGAGAGATATCTGAATCTAAGTGATGAAATTAGACACTTTAATGTGTGTCTGAAATACTAAACACCTCAGACCTGGAACCAAAGGCTTCCACTTTTGCTCATCAGAGGCATATATTTTCTAATCAGTGATTTTTATCTCAGCCTCGTAGCTATACTTTCTTTTTTGTCACCTCATCAAACCCACAGGTAAGTACTTTCTAGGAAGTTTGTGAGTCAGTGCAAATATCCATCAAAATGCATGAAGTCTAGAAAAGTTATGTTTAAACAATCTAGAAAGTCTGTACGTGCAAAAAATAACAGGTTACTAGGCAAAGAAAGCAGGAAAATGACTTTTTCAATACATTAAATTCAGTTTATAAAGCCTTTATAAAGCATGCATGGTAGGGTCAATAGTTTATGAAGAAAAAGGGGAGAAATATGGCACACAGTGGTGACAGCACCTCAGCAGCTCAGTATGTGTGTTTGCTGATACCTGGACGTGCTTCTTGATCTGGTGAGTGCTTTGCTGATGACGAGTGAAGGAGCTGACTGTCGTCTCTGCGCCAGGGTCTTCATCTTCTGCACAGTCAGAGAGAGAGAGGTGAGAGACGTGGGTCAGAGACATTACTTTGCGTCACTGTTTTCGGTTTGGTACAACACGCAATGGTTACAGAGACGGAAGGCAAAGTACACAGTCAGCACTGCTCTGAGCTGGCTGTTTAGCTGTGGTCGATGCAGGAAATACAGGACTCACAGAGAAGGGAAGAAAGCGACTAATAGGAGAAGTGACGGCAGTTAAAAAGGAGGGAAAAGAGGAAACGAGCGAGATGGAGGCAGACAGAAAAATAAGTGACAGCGAGACAGAAAAGATGGCCGGAGCTGGGAAATATATCATCGGCGTGTGATGTTTATGATGGTTCACATATTCCCACTGTGGCACGATAAATGGTGCGCTCACTCACAGAAGTATGGCAGGCATCTTTATGTCCGCCACAGCTATTTCATTTAAACCTACAGCATGCCAAAACCTTGTTAGCTCACAATACCTCCCCCTCCTCCTCCCCCACGACGTACACTACAGTGATTCAATCAGAGGACGGCAAGAAATAATTAAAGTAGCGACCCAAATTAAATAAGACTCAGATTCCTGGAATCTTTTTGGAGTTACTTAAGGGTGACATTCCTCTCTTAACAAACTCCTGTTAGTAATAGAGGTCAGAGTTGCTACAGCCCAGCCCGACATGCTGTGAGTTATTGGACATTTGGAAAAAGGAAAGAAGCATCAGCTTCAATGTGCTTATTTTCTTTTTTTTAAAAAGGAACAATAATTCACAGTGACACGTCTTGCCTGAGATGAATATCTGACACCTACAAATTAGTTGAATTGACTTGATGGTTTTGTGGAAACCCTTTAAATCGGGTTGGGTTTTTCCATTAGTTTTGTGTACGGTAAGTTTGATAATTCAGTTTGTTTCCACGCAGATTTTCAAACGCACCAGCGACGTTGGTGACAGGTGTCATCTCGTTGTTCTGCCGTGGTGACTGACACGAGGCAGGACACCCTGAAGCCTCAAGTCTTAAATTATGCAGCCTGTGTGCTAAAGCCAAAGAGGAAGTCTGCACTGTAAAGCTGCAGGACAAGTACACATTATGTACCTGTCATGCCTGTCACGTACAATTCAAGAAAGCACATTCTCACAGAAATATCCGAGAGGAAAAAACAAGTCCTACTCAAAGAGATGCATGTGGAAACTCTATTTTCATGAGCATTTTCTCACTCGGTGAGGCTCTGGCTGACAGATTGCATTTCTCACAACTTCCTAAGGCTGAGCAGAGCCCAGTGTGTTGCAGACAGGCCAAAGAGCAGCAATTGCTCAGAGAAGGGAAAGAGAAGAGAGGGGTTGGGGTGGGCTACAGCAACATCATTTGTAAATCCATAACACTATTTTTCACTATAAAATTCCAGGCCTGGAAAGTGGTGAAATACTTAGAAAGCACCAGTGTACTGTGCAGAAGTAACTAGTGGAGATCATATGAGTACATATTATATTTGCCAACCATCACGCACATCCTGTTAACCTATGGTCAACTTTTCTAACCCAGTTGTTGCTTTCAGGAGGCATTTCGGCACTTTTATGTTCACACTTAGCGCTCACATCCTCCCATGCTGAAAGCTGCAGTTACTTGCTTTAAACAGGCGTGAGGAGGGGGCGCTACGCGTTCGTTCAGCAGCCGCTGGGAATCGTCTGCTCTATCAGCGACGAAGATCTGGAGGGAAATATTTACATGAAATAATTGTAATGCATAGCCCTCGATTTACAGCACAGGCGGTAATGTGGAATGACACGCAAAATTGTGTTTATTTTTCCCCTCTTCTGTTTAAATACTCTATGCTCTCAGTGAAGAGAAGCCACGCAACTAACCGAAGCGCAACATCCATGCCCGTGTTGCCTGTGAAATTAACAAATAATCGCTCTTTATATTTTTTTCTGTTGTTTGGCTTCAGCCATACTTTCTGCACTCAGCATGAAAAAACAAAGTAATGACCCGTTTTGTTTTTCAAGAGTTTTTCTTGGGTAAAAAGTTCAACTTTTTATAGAATAATAATAATAATAATAAATCACAAGTTGGAAAGACCAGAATCCAGTCCTCTGGTTTTGCTTTTCTTTTTTCCACACTTAAGATTACACTATTCCACGTGCACAGGGTGCACAGGGTGGATCCACACAAGTCTTCAAGGACAAACCTTGATCAAGCCTGTGAAAAACTGTGATCACATAAACGCTCATACTATGTACAATCACAACGACATGGACGAGGAACAGTCAAGCGTCTTAATTCAGATCCTCTAGACGTGATGCGCAGCACACAGATGAGGGTTTAAAGACTGGTTTTTAAAAATACATTTAAAAAAGACACATATCAGAAAATAACACAATGAAGCCAACAAGCCAGGAACAGAAACGTGCGTTCGGTCTTTGAACTCACTCTTGCAGATACTGCTCTGTGTCTTACATCTCATATTGTCATTCAAAAGTAAAAGAAGACCCACAACAAGCGCACCCGATGCGCAAAAACGCGCACACGTGAACAGAAAGTGCGCCTAGATAACGTTACATTACTTCAGATGTACCTTTTTGCTGTCGGGAAGCGCCTTGCTCTCTCCCGTCAGAGAGTCGGACCTGTTCTGTCCCATGGTCCCCTGCTGCGGTGACATGATTTCCATCAAGGCTGTATAAATCCACGGGTCCGAGCGCACCCACGGTATATTCCCATGATACGTAAGTAAGTCCAAAAGTTTATCCGGCGGAGAAGGGAGAGCGAGCCAGAAACGAACCCATGATGGAGAGGTCTGATCTAAAGTATGAAAAGCGGTGACTGCTCTCTTCTGTCTGTGTGTCTCTCTCTGAGCGCTGTTTGCTCTGAGCGCAGCGGTTACGGTGTACTTCAGCTCACTCTGAACTTCAAAGTTAAAGACAATGAGGTACACAGCTTCCGTCCGTGCTCTTCAAAATAAGCCCATCCAAAGATATCACGAGACATTTTT